TCTTGACCCCAAGATCATTACCTGAACCAAAATCAAGAGTCAGGCACTTAACCGGATGAGCCACCCAGGTGCCCCTATTTGTCTGATTTTATTTTATTTATTTATTTTTTTTAAAGATTTATTTATTTGACAGAGAGAGACACAGCGAGAGAGGGAACACAAGCAGGGGGAGTGGGAGAGGGAGAAGCAGGCTCCCCACTGAGCAGGGAGCTTAACGACTGAGCCACCCAGGCGCCCCTCAGCTGATAGTTTAAAAATCATGACTGATTTGTCACAATAACCAGCGTTTTGTGCCTTATATGAATATGTGGAAAGTGTTTCAAAAGAATTTGAATCAACTGAAAGATAATGGGTGTTTAACTTGCATAAGTCAGTTAAGTGAATTATGAATTTATTAGTATAAAGTTATAAATCTTATTTCTGGGTTTCGGGGTCTCGAGAATACTAAATTTGGCCAAAGCAAAAAGGCATTTGTCTTGAGACTTCTTTAGAATTCAAAATATAACTAGCGAGTATTTGTTGATTAAAAATTTGATTTTCATTCTCTAAAGGAAAACTCATATTTCTGACCCATTTTTTTTTCTTGAGTTAAGAGGAACGTGTGTGCATGTATATATATGTATTTGTGTGTCTCCACAGGAACTCTTTCACCTAAGTACTATTGTCCTCATTTTAAAGGTGTGGAAACTGGAGCTCCATGAGATTAAATGACTTGCCCACTCTTACACTGCTACTAGGACCTGACCCAGGATACAAATTCACATTATTTTCTTAACCATTTATTTTGAGAAATTAAGAACTACAGAAAAATTTCAAGAATGGTACAATGAACATCCTATACCTTTCCTCTAGATTCACTGGTTGTTACCATTTACAAAGCCCACATTCTTAACCACTCTACCATTTATTTGGCATATTGTGACCTTAGGATATTACACAACCTCTCTGTGATTGATTTCTTTATATGCAAGTGGATAACAATATCTATTTTGAGAGTTTTATTTTTTTTTAAAAGATTTTATTTATTTATTTATTTGAGAGTTAGGGAGAGAGAAACAGCATGAGAGGGGAGAGGGTCAGAGGGAGAAACAGGCTCCCCGCTGAGCAGGGAGCCCAATGCGGGACTTGATCCCAGGACCCTGGGATCATGACCTGAGCTGAAGGCAGTCGCTTAACCAACTGAGCCACCCAGGCACCCTATATTGAGAGTTTTAAAGATGAAGATGAAGTGGGGTGCCTGGCTGGTTCAGTCGGTAGAGCATGTCACTCTAGATCTCAGGGTAGTGAGTTCAAGCCCCATGATGGGCATAGAGCTTACACATACAAAACAAGTAAAAATGAAGATGTAGTGAATAATGTATTCTCCCAGCAAATGTTTATTGAGCTCCTACCATTCTGGATGAATACAAGGTATAAGTCAGAAAAAAGCAAGATAGTACATTGTATGCCCTCATAAACTCAGATATTGGGGGACAGACAGTGAAGGGACACAGTGGGTAAATTCAGGTGGTCTAAGCACTGGGAGGAGACAAAGCCTTTAGACAGAGCAGCTGGAAGGCTTCCTGGTGGAGGTGACCTCTAGCCTGAGGCTTGACTCATAAAAAGGAGTGAACCGTGTATAGATGGGAGCAGAATGGGCCAGCCTACCTAGAGTGGATGCTGAAGATCTTTTTATTCCACAAAAAAGGGAGATTGTGGAGTTTCCCTTTGTGGAGATTGTTTAGAAGAGAACATATGCTCTCAGGTAGACTAGATAATAATCTGATAAAAGATAGGGCTGGCCGGTAGGTTTTTCAGAGTCTGTTCTAGCTCTGTGCATCTACAGCTCTTCATGGAGAGCTACAAGCATAGATTTCTGAGAAACAATCTTTGTAAAAGTGTCTTGACTTCCTTGTCAATTATTTCCTTTGAGGCATGTAACTTTTAATATTAATAAGCTGTGTTATTAACTAATGGCAGTTGCTGTCCAAGGAAGTCTGATTTGTGTTTCTGGAGTCTCAGTGAACTTTTGTTTCTAATTTAGAAATTGGATGAAGACATGCATCAAAAAATTGCAAGAGAAATGAACCTCTCTGAAACTGCTTTTATCCGAAAACTGCACCCCACTGACAACTTTACACAAAGTAAATATGCTTTTTTTTTTTTTTTAAGCCATTCTTGGATGGTACCAGAAACTGCTTTTCCAGTGGGGGAATGATATTTCAGAGAGATTTGCATGCAGACAGGAGAGAAGGTGGGGGAGATTCTGATTTGGTTTTCAGTTTGTCTGGGGAGAGCAGATGTTGAGTAATTTGAATGTTTTAGCTCCAGATCTGGCACCGGGGAGCCCTAGGATGCTGGCCTAGACTTCACTCTTCCTTCACAATGCATTTCAGCTATTAATCATGCTAGGGAAATATTGAGAAAAGAATAAGAAAATGAAAAGTTTGTGACCCACTTGTATGGGAGTGATCTCATCTCTCGTTGGCTTTTCCTCCTCTGAAGGTTCCTGCTTTGGATTGAGGTGGTTTACGCCGGCGAGTGAGGTTCCCCTCTGCGGCCACGCTACCCTGGCTTCCGCGGCTGTGCTGTTTGAGAAGATAAGTAATGTGATTTTCTTTTATGAACCTGTCACTGAGCAAATAGCAAGTATTTTTTAAAATTCTCACGCTTTGTGATGAATCAAAGTCCCTGCTATCAAGACATTACAGAGTCTATTCATGTCATTCATGACGCTGAAACAAATACAGCCCCCCGAAACTTTGGCCTTTCTGATTATGTGCCAGGCCTGTTGGAAAGCTCTGGTCGTTGCTCCCTAGAATGCCATTTTATTTTGAACGGGAGCTCTCTGGTCTCTGACCAACACAGGAGGGGAGCTTGCAATACACAATAGGCGTCTCACATGATGTGGCATCGGGGAACCATAAGTCACATTTTGCTCCAAATATGTCCCCACCCACACTGAGATTCATTTCACAAGAGCTGCTTCTTCTTCTTCTTCTTTTTTTTTTTAAAGTAAACTCTATGCTCAACATGGGGCTTGAACTCAAGACCCCAGGATCAAGAGTCACATGCTCTATGGACTAAGCCAGCCAAATGCCCCTCACAAGACCTTCTTTACTTTGAAGTTTAAAGATTCATGAGCCACGGCTATCTACATTTCCCTTGTGAAGAGAGGATGCTGCACCTCAGTCCTACCAGTTTTCATCTTCGCTACATTTAGTATAATAAAGATCAGGGCTCTGTGGCAATGAGCCAGGCAGAGGAGAGATGCCCAGAAATGCCCTAAAAGTGGAGATGGAAGCAGCCATGAATAGGTGTAGACAACAAACAGAAAGTTAAGCAAGGAAATATACAGGATGATACGACAGAGTGTAAGAGTGTAAGTGGGGAGAGCAGCATTGGAAAAGGAGGTTCTCTGGGGAGTTACTTAGATGGGGAGGGTATGGGGAGGTGTTACAGGGCGAGTTCCCCTGGGAAGCACATTGCATGCTGGGAGAATTGTGGGCAGTATTCTTGGAGTCAATATTGGCAGGGAGTAAAGAAAGCAGAATAGAACAGAGGGACACGTTGAACTGTGAAGTGGTAGCAACAAAGAAAGGCGTAGGCCAAATCCACAGGGAGATCTGAAACTGCAACGATCCTTCAAGTAGTATAGTTCCAAATAGAAACAAAGGTGCAGGCCTTTATACCCTCCATTGATCAGCCTCCAATGCCCAGAAAAGCAGCCTGACTTCGGGTAAAGTAGCTCTACTCACCCAAGGGCGATTCACAGAGTGGGACTCAGCTGAGAGCAGTCAGTCACCAACACCCCTGGCAGCTGGGGCAGGGCCTTCAGGCTGCGCCTGAGAGCAGGTGCCTCCTTAAATGCATGCCTCTGTATTTCCTTGCCTTGCTAGTCCTGGCCTTCGGAGGGGAAGGTTGAGATGCTGGACCGCAGCATCCACTAGAGAAGGGGACTGTCAGGCTGAAGAATATCAAGCCATGTGTGCAAAGAATTCGAGTGGGAGGAGGAGTATTTGGGCAGAGGCAGCAGCAAATGCAAAGCTCCTGAGGAGTAGTCTGTATACCTGGAGTGGCTGGAGTTTCCCTGGGGTGGGGGGGGTGCGGGGGGTGACTGGCAGGAGATAACATTGAGGCCCCTCTATAATGTAACCCATGATATGCCTTAACAAGATAATTTTGGTTTCTGTGGATAGGGGACAAGAATGAGGGCAGGCAAATACCCTGAAATATTGCTTAGGAACTCAGTCTTGAAAAAAGATTTTACTGAAGTTGGATTGAGTGCCTTTTGAAAACCCCACATTGTTTGGTGTGGGGCAGAGATTTAGAATAATAGCCTTCAGATCGATCCCCCACAGGGTGGTCTTAAGGTTTGATAAGATAAAATATGAAAAAATGCTTTGCAAATAATGATGTCTTCCACCATTTATAATGAGAAAAATTAAACTTTGGGCTCTGGAGTATACATTTTATATTCAGTGAAAGTTAATCAACAATGCCAAATTTCCTTACCTTTTAGATATGGTTAAGTTTTACAGAAATATTAAGGGGGGAAAAAGAATTAGGTCACAGATCTTTGTTTTCACTGAAAATGTTACCCACATTGAGGTCAGATAAGTGGTCCAAGTTGTATCAGTAACATGAAGGGCTAGTATACCAGCATTTGCGGTCCAATTTTTAAATAAAAAATTTATGTGTAGCTTGGTTTATTTAGGGTAAACTTGATTTGTTTCTAGTAGACTGTCATTCATAATTTGTATATTCTTTTTTTTTTAAAGATTTTATTTATTTATTTGAGAGAGAGAGCACGTGAGACGGGAGGGTCAGAGGGAGAAGCAGACTCCCTGCCGAGCAGGGAGCCCGATGCGGGACTTGATCCAGGGACTCCAGGATCATGACCTGAGCTGAAGGCAGTCGCTTAACCAACTGAGCCACCCAGGCGCCCCCATAATTTGTATATTCTATTTGTCATCCCCTTGGCATATTTTAGACTGGTATTATTTGTAACAATCTAGTATTATAGGTGGATATTTAAAATCTGCATTAGAAAACACTGTTTCATCCCTATGAGGTAGGTTTAATTATTACCGCATTTTACTGATGAGGAAATTGAGGCTTAAGGAGGTTAAATAATTTGCTTAAGGGCACAGTTAGTCAGCATAAAGGAGCTGGCCTTTGAAGCCTTGCAGTATGATGTCAAGTTCAACCAATTTTGTTCTTGGTTCTCAGGTGAGAAGCTGGTGGGGGCTATCTCTACTCTGGACCCCAGTAATCCAAACCTGAACCCCTCCTTTCAGGAAAAGCCAGGGAATCTAAGACAATGCAGTAGTGATCAAAACAGATGTGCAAATATATAACAAAGTTTATTTTCCTATTTCTTGATTTCCTTTCAGAGAGTTTTCTGATTGACAAAGTAAGACTTTTTTTTTTTTTTGCCAGAAAACGTGAATAACACTCTAACCTTTGTCACTCTGAGTGGGGAACTGAAGGCCAGAAGAGCAGAGGACAGTATTATCCTGGATCTACCTCTTTATCCTGCCCACCCCCAGGTCAGCTCTTTCTAACTATTGCCATGAACCGTATTAACTGACAGCTTGCGTGCCTGACAGTGGTCTTGTCTTTTTCCCCATCTAGGACTTCCATGAAGTGGAGGACTTGATAAAGGTTGGTGAAAAGAATTAAACCTAAGCTCGTGTGATTTGGTCATTTATTGTTTGAACACAAAGGTTCAGTACCATTTAGGGGCACCCGGGTGGCTCAGTCAGTTAAGCATCTGCCTTCGGCTCAGGTCATGATCCCAGGGTGCTGGATCAAGCCTGGGTTGGCCTCCCTGCTCAGCAAGGAGTCTGCTTCTCCCTCCCTCTATGCCCCTCCCCCTGCTTGTGCTTTCTTTCTTGCTTGCTCTCTTTCTCTCAAGTAAATAAATAAAATCTTAAAAAAAAAAAAAAAAGATTCATGGCACCTGGGTGGCTCAGTCGGTTAAGCGTCTGCCTTCAGCTCAGGTCGTGATCCCGAGGTCTTGGGATCGAGCCCCGCATCTCCCTCTGCCGCTTTCTCTCTCTCTCTGTCTCTCATGAATAAATAAATAAAATCTTAAAAAAAAAAAAGATTCAGTACCATACGACCCCCAAAGATAGGCCTTCTATCAGTATAAGCGTTCCAGCCTAAGCTTGGATGAAAAGTGCATGGTGCATTTGAGGTGTGAATTTTAATGTTGAATCTATTTGGTGAGAAGCTTGAGCAGTTGTCCCTGGCTCTTCATTGCCAGATTAGCCTCCATGAAGGAAGGGGGAGGAGAGACTGCTGTGTGGTGGGCCGAGCGTGAAAGCAATGGAAACTGCTGGGCAGGGCGGCCTGGATTTCTGTGGTGGAGAATGAGGCTGAGGTGAGGGGCTGTGCTTTGATGGAGGAGGACAGGAAAGCTCGGGCAACTTGATAGAGAAGGCAAGATTCATAGCCTGGCTTCCTCAAGAGGTCTAGGAAGGGGTGGTCCTTCATGAGAATAACAACGATCATGCTAATGAACATTTTTGAGAGTTGCCCCTGGGCAGTACCAGGTGCTAAGCTTTTCACATGCATCATCTCACTTAATACTGTCACTGGGTGAGGTAGGCACTACAATCGTTCTATGGGGATTCCAGGGGGCCCGAGCAGCCCTGCATGACCCGGTTCTTAGTCTGTAGAGAAGGAAGGGCCCCATCAGGATCAGGGCAAGGGCTGCAGTGAGAAAACCAATTCTCACTAAATGGTCTACCCTGGGTACCGCTGGGGTGTTTCTCAGTGAATGTTCAACTACAGCATTTATAATCTTTAGTGTCTTGCATTATCTATGTTTTTCAAAGAGTAGAAGCAAGCATTACAGATTCTGATTTTACACTCAGCCCCACCTATGGCTTGGGTTTTGGAAGACAAGCCAACATTCATAAATGAACTGCTTTAAGCAAGTTGACAAGAAAATGGACAATATTCACAGTACAGACCTTGTTCATGGTAGAAAGAACTTAATGCGGTGTCTCTAAGCTTCAGGGTCAGCATTTGTAAAGTGGGGATGATAAAGGGTTATGTATCCTGAGTATTGTTGTTTTGTGTTCCTAGAAACTGGTCATAAGATTCTCAGCTGAGAATTAGACTTTCAAATTGACATCAGAATTCATGCAGAGGAGGGCTGAATGACCCCTCGGAGAAGCTGAAAGGCCCAAGAACAGACAGGCTCTGGCTGCAAGAGTTTCCATTTCCAGAGGAAGGGACATTGTTCAGCTGTGGTCGCTGGGGTAGACAGCCGAGGCACCACCCAAAGTGGAGGGAGTCTTGGCTTTGGGACCCGGAGCATCTCAGTCCCTAAAGAAGATTAGAGAACCTGAAGCAACCTGAAGCCAGACAACTACCATGTAATTCTCATCTGCTCTGCCTACAGCCAGTGGGGGTGCCAAAGGGTGACTTGGAGGGGCTTCCCCCACTCATCATCCCCTCAGCACTCCAAGTCAACAAGCAAACAGACAAACAAGTTCTAGGATATGAGCAAGATTATGTGCAGTCTCAGGTAAAGGGTGAACCCAGGTATCTTTAGAAAATGTTGCTACATTACTGATCTGCAGCATACAATCTAAGTGAAAACAGTGCTTGCCACGCAGAGCAGCATTAAGATGTGTTCTAGACCCCAGTTCCATTCAAACTGCTGGCCCTGGGTCCTTGCCATGTAGAATCTTCTAGTTACTGCTGCTGCAACTCCACATATATTATTTCATTTAATCCTCACAACAATGCTAAGAGGTGGGCCTGAGGCCCTCATTTCTACCCCCATTTCTACAGACAGTAGACAGTAGTGATTCAGAGCTTTGACTCCAGGGCCCCTCAGACCTGGGTCAAGGTGTGTGTGTGTGTGTCTGTCCCTGGGCCTAAGTCTTGCTTCTTATTTGTGAGGAAAATGCCCATTTGAAGGATTAGCATGTTGAGGCACATAGTAATACTTGTGAACAATGCTTTTCTTCGGCTCTTAGAGGGTGAGCTCAACCCCCTTAAGGGTCTCTGGTCTCCAGAAAACTGGCCTTCCTTGGGCAACACCTTGAGTCCTGAAACTGAACTAAAACTCTTGGGATTGGGGACATTGGGTATGCCTGGCACACAGGAGATGCTCATGAGAGGCTGTTCCCCATATAGAAGATCAATGATTTGACCCAGGGTGCACTCCTGAGGAGTTTTTGGTCTGTCTCCACAGACTGCCATAGGTGATACCCTAGTCCAAGACATCCGCTATTCTCCAGATACCCGAAAGCTCCTTGTCCAGCTCAGTGATACTTACAAGAGGTAAACAAGATTTTTGGCTTTGGCAGCACTTTGGGGAGGGCTGAGAACCCAGATTTATAGCCCTGGCTTTGACTGGCCCTGCTAGGTCCAGTCAGAGAGTTTTGTTCCTAGGGAGGAAGATATTCTACTTGCTCTCTCCTCCCCTCCTGCTGAGCCCTTTGGGTAAAAGCTGCACCCTCACTTGCTCTACAGAGTCTGTATAGTGGTCTGTGAGATGGGTTTGTCCTAATCCATCCCATTCATGAACCAGGTCATTCCTGGAGAACCTGAAGGTGAACACACAGGATCTGCCGCAAGTGGAAAACACAGGGAAGGTGAAAGGACTCATTCTCACCCTTAAAGGAGAGCCTGGAGGGCAGACCCAAGCATTTGATTTTTACTCCAGATATTTTGCACCGTGGGTTGGTGTGGCTGAAGACCCTGTAACAGGTACTTTTTGACTTGGGTCCTGGGGAGGGTTCAACAGTGGAGGAAAGTAACATAGCTCTTTAAGTGCCCTTCAAACGACCTTTCAGGTTGTTGGGTTTTGAGCTGTTTTTGTTTCCCTATCTTCCCCTCCCCATTCTTTCACTGAAGTCTCGAGTGAAAACTACAGAATTAAGGAGACAGTATATATAGCAGGGTTAAATCTTCACGTCCGACAGCCTGGGTTTTCGTCCTAGCTGCCGAGCTGTTGACCTTGGGCAAATGACTTAACTTTTTTTAAAGTTTCTATTCCCCTTGTTGTGATGAGCCCTGGGTGTTACATGTAAGGGATGAATCACTGAATTCTACTCCTGAAACCAATATTACACTATATGTTAACTAACTAGAATTTAAGTAAAAACTAAAAAAATAAAAAAAATAAAGTTTATATTCCCTCCTCTATAAAGTATGAGTAATATTTCATAAGGTTATGTAAAAACAGTGCATGGTAAATGCTTAGCACAGTGCCTGGCACATGATAAGCACCCAGTAACTCTTAGCTATTTTAATAATAATGACAGAACTGGTTCCCTGAACCAACGCTTCCAGATCTGCCATTTGCAAAATTCAGGGGCCAATTTCCACTATAGTCACAAAGCCTTTTGTTTTTTTCAGTCACCAGCCTGTGTGATCATTGGCACCTAAATAAGATTTATTTTTTGAAGGATAAGTTCCTGGGTTGTAGGTGGGAGATACAGACAGGAATAGCTTTCCCAGACCTGCCCCCAAAGTGGGTGGGATGGGTTTGGGAACATAGGTATTCAAGATCTACCAACCAGAAGCAGAGGGATGAAATCAAAGACGGGCAAGAATGTGAAGCTTCCTCCTTTCATCCTCTTAGAGAAGAGTGGGCTGAGCAGAAAAGGGGGGATGCTTGATGGAGGAGGCTGGCGGATGGGATGGTGGTCAGGGCAGAAGGAGGCTGGGAAGAACCTCTGAGGCTCCTGCTCTGAACAGAAGACAGAGATTGGGATTGTTTCAGGACTTTGACCTAGTTACTCTATGAGAACCAAAACATGAAATTCAAAGCTCAGCAAAGCATTTTCTTAAAGACTCAGGAAAATGCCCAATGACATCCAAACAGTAGAGCTTGACCCTCCCCCATGGAAAAGAAGTTTTGAGTGGATTTACATATGCTTCACAAAGATTTTAACTGCTACAGAGAGAAAGTGTTTTCCCCTGTAATAATGCTTTTCTAAAGTGGGAAGGTCTTTGGACAGTGATGATCAACCATCTCAGCTTGCTTGAGACTGAAGGATTCCCCAGCATGCAGGACCTTTGGTGCTAAAACCAGGACAGTCTTGGGCGAACTGGGATGACTGGTCATCCTAGGTGGACCTCCCATGATATTTAGTAAGTTTTCCTGAAGAAAACCCATCCTTTTCTCCCAGTTATGACTTTACATTTTGTTTCTTCATTTTAATATCTATTCACTGATCTAAAACTAGGGCACAATCAAGTGAAAAAAAATGCCTCACTAAAACAAAGTTCTTTTGGCACTAAAAGCCTAAAAATCTTGGCTTGGTGGAAAATTGAACCTTTTGTCAGAGTTCCCAGTTTTTCTTGCATGTTCATCGTTGGAGGAAGGAGATACTTCCCTTGAAAGATTAGAGAAAGATTTAGGTGAAGCACTTGATCTTCCTACCATGGCCTGACAATGAACTGATAGACAGGACAAGAATTAAAAACTGCAGTTTAACTAATTCAAAAAGATATATGCACCTCTATGTTTATTGCATTATGTACCATAGCCAAGATATGGAAGCATTATGTACCATAGCCAAGATATGGAAGCAACCCAAATGTCCATCAATAGATGAATGGATAAAAAAGATGTGATGTGTGTATATACACATACCTACACACACACTAGAATATTATGCAGCCATAAAAAAGAATGAGATTTTTGCGATTTGCAACAACATGGATGGACCTAGAGGTATTATGCTAAGTGAAATATGTCAGACTGAGAAAGACAAATACCATATGATTTCACTCATGTGTGGAATCTAAGAAGCAAAACAAATAAACAAAAAGCAGAATCAGACCTATAAATACAGAGAACAAACTGATGGTTCCCAGAGGGAAAGGGGTTAGGGGGATGGGTGAAAAGGGTGAAGGGGAGTGGGAGGTATAGGCTTCCAGTCATGGAATGAATAAGCCACAAGAATAAGAGGCACAGCGCAGGGAATATAGTCGACAATATTGTAATAGCATTGTATGGTGACGGATGGTAGCTACACTCGTGGAGAGTATAGGATAACATACAGAGAAGTTTAATCACTATGTTGTACACCCGAAACTAAGGTGACATTGTGTGTCAACTAGACTCAAATTAAAACATTAGAAAAAAAAGACCCTGCAGTTTAATTCGGCCTGCAGAAAGTGTAAAACATAGCAGATACATTATTTGGAGGAACTTATCCATAAATTCTGTGTCTTCCTTTCTATGTCCATTCATAATTCCACACTCTGCTGTGGCCCTGGCCAACATCATGATCAAGTCATTTAAGGTTTAGTCAAACCAGATAGTTGGTTGTAATTGCTTATCAATTTACCACAATGCCACCCCTGTTTTTGTATCATAACTTTTCACTTCTTTTAAGGGTCTGCACATGCTGTTCTCAGCAGCTACTGGTCCCAGCAACTGGGGAAGAAAGACATGCATGGTAGGATAGTTTTTTTTTTTATTTAAAAAAAAAATTTTCTAACTTTAAGCTAGCATTCCTTCTCATATGTACCATTGATTTGAAGATGTAATAAAATGTCATGTATCACCCATATGAAAATGAAAGGTTTTACGTTGCTTCACTCTGAATCCTCTACTCAGAATATCTTCCACCCCTGTCCCCCCCAAAACACAGACACACTTCTAATACAGTAAGTGCCCAAGTATTTGTTGAATAAAATTAACTGGCTGTATAACTTTGGCCCAGTGAGGTTATTTAGAATGTCACAAGTTGAGATGGGATGATTGCCAAAGTTCCTTATTGCCATTGCTAGTCACGGGATTGAATCAAACAAATTGCTTTTGAACCAAGTCCCCTAATGACTTTGGGGGGTGGAGAGGAAATAGATTGCAGCCAATGGAGGCTACACAGTTCCAATAGTCAAAGTAGGAATCTGACCCTCCAGGATGGGAGGTCTGACCTAGTGGGAGGGTCAGGCCTCTGTGACTCTGATTTGGGGATAGCAGGTTGGCTGGTCTTTCTTTGGTGAGCCTAGTTTCTCCCTTACGCCCCGAACTCCACGAAGGTGGAGACTGTTCAGTTGCTTGATAAGCACAATGGGTAAACAAGCTCCCTTTGTCCTCTTCAGACCTGGAAAGATGGGGCTCTCTCAGGAGGGCCAAGATCACCCCTCTTTATCTTTTTAAACTTCTAGTCCGTGCCTCTACCTTATCACAGGTCCTCACTTACTCCCAGACAGAAGCAGGAAGGAAGCTATGCGCGAGGTGTGTCTGGGACATTACGGGAAGTGACAGAGGAAATGACTGAGGAAGAGAAGATGTGGAGCTGTGTGTTTTGTGGCTCAAATTGCGTTTGTGGTCCCTCAGTCCTCAGAACAGGGCAGGCTGAGCAGTGCTACGGACAGAGGAAGGAATTTATTCTTTCCACTGAGCTGGGAGGGTTCTGGAGCTTGTAAGAAGACAGAGGTCTTCCACTATGTTCTGTGAATTAGAAAGGGTGAAGATGAACAATATTAACTCGTGACTTGTTTTATGTTTTCTTTAGCCTTTCAGTGTTCCCACCGAGGAGGAGAGCTGGAGATTTCTCTGCGTCCTGATGGGCGGGTTGATATCAGGGGCAGCACTGCTGTTGTTCTAGAGGGCACGCTGACAGCCTAGAGGTGGCTGTGGTTCAAGGCTGAGATTTTGAATGACTAAGTGTTTTCTGCACAAAAAGAAATGGAAGCGGCTGCCTTTACCAAACTTGCACAGCAGTTCACTTCATCCCCACGATAGAAATAGAAAAATGAAGACATATTAATGGAAATTTCATCATGCTTCCTGACTAATTAATTTATGGAGTTTTGGCTTTGCCCGCGAATGTATTTGACATAGAAGTAACCAGTAACAAAGAATGAGGTTGTCACCTTCAATTATGACTACCAATCACAGAATGAGGAGTACATTTATGAGGAGTAAGATCAAACCATTTAAACTTAGGTGTGAGTATCTGATAGACTATTTTGTAGCCGTTAAAAAGACGCAATAACTATGTGGAAATATTGAAAAGTATCTCATGACACAATACTAAGAAAGGGAATTACAGTGGACTACAAAATGTTAGCAATGTTATGTTTATATCTATGGACAATATGAATATATATGGACAAAGATGGGTCATGAAGATAGAAAGGTGACAACTGTTCATGTGTGTGTGTGTGGGGGGGGTAAGATTGGGAGTCATTTTAAGGCACCTAAAAAATTATTTCCCTTACTGGAACACACTCATGTTCAATAACTAAAAAATCAGGACATATAACAGAATAACCCAAAAACCCAGATATTTCAAAAAATGTATATGTATTACTGTGGTGATAAAATTAAACTCTAAAAGCAATATAATATCTTTATCTTGATGTATAGTTTTAGAGTGTAACTTAAAAAGCATTCTTCTCTTACCTTAATAAAATTGGTTCTAACATATTTTCAATTCAGTTAAATCTGTAATGTTGAATACCTATAATTGACTTTGGGATGGGGACTTTTTCAAGTCATTAACAGTGTTTGTTTAAGGTGATCTCATTGATGGCAATTCTCAGCCATCTCAAAAACTGCAAGCTAATCAGTTAGAAATGCCCGTAGTGTCCCAATTTTTGTCACCTTACTGCTACCATGCTTTCTATTTTTATTTATTTTTGCTAAGGCATGTGACAGTGAATTTATTCTAGCAGTAATCTTGTGTTTCCCCTAATTTGCAATGAAGTAAACAATTCACTGGCTTCAGGGCTTTAGCTTAATGAGTAACCAATGACCTGCCACATAGCTCACCCCTTCTCCCAACTCATCAGTGGGTTACACCATGGGTAAGAATCACTGGAGGGTTTTCACAAAGTGCAAAGTTTTCTCCACCTCGAACTGAATTGTATGAATGATTTTATATAAATGCATAGTTGTAAGGGTCTGAATTTTATCTCCCCAATGTATGCTAAGTTCTTTTCAAAAATTATTTATTTTTAAAATTCCAGTATAATTAATATACAGTGTTATATTAGTTTCAGGTGTGCAATATACTGATTCAACAATTCTATATACCCAGGGCTCATCACGATAAGCACACTCTTAATTTCCTTCTAAGTTCTTAATAGATATTTTTGGGATACGAGTCCCTGAGGTGATTCTGAATTCTTTTTGCATGAAAGTTGCTATTTCAAACATCTGAGTTGACTTTTCATCTTATATTTTTAAAGATTTTTATTTATTTATTTGATATATAGAGAGGGAGAGCATAAGCGGAGCCATAGAGCTCCAGAAGTAGCAGCCGAGGAAGCAGGGGTGAGGGTGGGAGAAGCATACCTAAATAGATAAATAAGAAGAAATGAAATGACATCTGTGGGTAGCAGGAGCAAAGAGCTTCTAGAATTAGCATACTGTGCAGAGTGAGTTTTTTGCTGATATAAGTAGGGCGGGTTTCAGGGTACAGTTTTCCCCTGTTTCTTCTGCTTCTGCCCACCTCTTACCTACCTGATCTTACTAAGAGTGGGCATAGGGGAATGTGTAGGGAGATTGTTAGAAATGTATCCCAGCACTCAAGTATAATGTTGCCATTGCTTGAAAAAAGTGCTCCCATCAAAGTCGGCATCCCCTGGCGTAATGAGTTAGACTGAGTTATCTTAATGTAGGAAATACCTACAAAATCACAGAGGCTTAATATAACAAACTTTTATCTTCATTCCTATCACTTGTCTAGTACAAGTCAGGAGGGGTTCTGTTCCATGGTCCTGCAGGGGCCCAGGCTGATTTTGCCTTCTGCTATTTCAACATGTGACCTCTGTGGGTGCTGCGGCAGGAGGAAACAGTGTATGGAAGTCTCACTCTGTTTGCCTCAGAAGTGATAGGTGTCAATTCTGCTCATAGCTTATTGGCTGCAACTGGTCATATACCCCCATCTAAGCGCAAGGGAACTGAGAAATGTGGGGGAGCTCGTGGATATATTCTGCATATGGTAAATATAGCTGCCACACTTGGGGGAGATTTTTAGGCTACTCAGACAGTACCCACTAGGGTGGCATTACTTAGGTAAATTCATCACAGTCCAGGGGCTCAGGGGTGCAGGCTTAGAAGGCTATTATGTAAATGTACCAAGAGCGAATCTATCTTTCAGGCGTAGATTCACATTTAACTAGCGCATAGAGACTGATGTATAGAGCCAGAATACCAATTTTTTATATGATAAGCGTAATCACAGAATGGATTAGATTAGAGCATTTTCTCTCCATTTGCATATCTGTTTGGGAAGCCAAATTATAATTATAAATAAATAAATTATAATCAGAAAGCGGCTTTATGACTGTGGAGCTGAAATGAGGAGAGTCAGCAAAATGGACCTAAATGGCAGATGTCATCAAGACATAAGCTTCCCCACTTTAACAATGCATTAGAATCCCATCATAATGCATTTAATTTACTTGAATTTAACTATATTTATTTTTGGGGGCACCTGGGTGGCTTAGTCAGTTGGGTGTCTGCCTTTGGCTCAGGTCATGATCCCAGGATCCTGGGATCGAGCCCCACAGCAGGCTCCCTGCTCAGCAAGAAGTCTGCTTCTCTCTCTCTCCCTTCTGCCCCTCCCCCTGCTTGTGCTCTTTCTCTTTCTCTCGAGCATTGTCTCTCAAATAAATAAATAAAATCTTTAAAAAAAATAAAAAAAATACATTTATTTTTGGAACAACCATGGTCCATAATTCAAGCCAACAACTTTATCTAGTACTCAACAAAACAGTGAGGTGTTCCAGCACTAGAGAAAAACCTGGCAGTATTGGGCTTGTGCACTGGGATATCACTCTACTATGCTTTATAGATTATTTGCAGGATTTTCAAGGATAACTTGGACAGCACTCAGTTTTTGCCTTATGCACCATGTATGGTAGCTTGCCTCAAAAATGGCTCTCAACAATCCCACCTTCTGCTGCTCAGACCCTTGTGTAGTCTGCTCCTACGTTTCACCAGGGTTGGTCTGTGTGACCAACAGAATATTCAGCAGTGACGGTATGTTACTTCTGAGATTAAGTTATAAAAACTGCATTTTATGTTTTGGTAGATGTGTGTGTGTCTTTCTCTCTCGTCACTTGCTCTGTGAGAAGACACCTACCCCTTGTGAACTGCCTTAAGGAGAGGCTGATCAACAGCACCATGAATGGGCTTGGAAGCAGACCCTTTAGCCCGTCAAGACTCGGATGCCTGTAGTCCGGCTGACACCTTGGCTCAGCCCTCTGAGACCCTGAACCAGAGGCACCAGCCTAAGCTGTGCCAAATTCCTGACCTACAGAACCCGAGATAATAAATGTTTATTTTATTTTATTTTTTTTAAAGATTTTATTTATTTATTTCAGAGAGAGAGAATGAGAGAGAGCACATGAGAGGGG